AGGGTGGCGTCAAAGCGCAACTCCGAATAAGGTGGTTGGACAATCTGCTGTTGGTTAGCTTTGGGCTTGGGCTTGGAGGTTAGCACTCTGTGTACTGACAACCCCAAACGAAACCAAATCTGCATGAAGGATAACATGATGACTCTTATCGCATAACCATTTTTGTATGGTTGTAGCCGCAATTTGGTGGAAATTGGTGCATTTAAATTTTGGTTAACCTGCGGTATCATTTCCAATCAAGATAAATCTTATTATTAAAATTATTTAAATATATTACTTTCGAAATGTGACAAAAGCCTGAAAATTGAATGAGGTTGTTTTATGCTTACATAAATTGACTAATAAAAGGAGCGATCCTTGCATTTTTGACGTCTTGTAAGTATTGACGACAAGAGACATAATTCAAATGCTAACATGGATGTGATCTGGGCACACTTCGTCAGCGTGTGCTTAAGCCAATGTGTCCACCCGGCCTTGTTGTTTTGTGTCAACTTGCTTTGTTTTCGGCATTGCGAGTGTTTACGAAGACTAAGGTTGTAGGGTTACTTACGCGGACAGCCATATTCCCACTGATTCCTTCAAATAAATCAGGTCTCATGTTAGTTGAAAAAACTAACTTCCTGATAGAAAATCCAAAACCGCCTCTTTGAAGGCAACGTATCTAAGTTGTTGTGCAAATTTGGGTTACAGGCCAAGAATTCTAATAAAATTCGGCTTGGATCGCACTGTAATTTGAAAACAAATGCAAATTACAAGCCAAATCTCCTAATGAAATTCAATGCAATCCAATGAGAATATAAGCGGCTAGATTTTAATAAAAAATGAATTAATTTTACAAAGGTATAAGAGACAAAACCAGGCTAGAAATCCAGGCATGGATAACTGAATATAACTTAGTAGCTGGTTAAGGTAGCACTTGATCAAATAAGTTTTGAACATGCATATTCTTTGCAAAGTATTACAATGCGAAATAACTACCCAAAATGTGATTGCTTAGAGATGTAGCGATTATGAAAAAAGGCTTGCCAGTATCTCATGATTGGTAACATAGCACCCAGCACAATTTAAAGTAAAATTTATTCTTACAATAATTTAAGAGTGCGAAGGGTGAATCGATGCATCTTTGTTTAAACATTTAATCAAGCGTGACATGCAGCCTTTTCAGGTAACACGAACTTCAAAGCTACCTAGCTGACCAAAACATTAAGAGGCGTGAGCAAAATGAACCGAATTAGAAAAATCTATGGTGCATTTAAAAAGTCATTAAATCTACAAGGAAATCTACAAGGAAATAAATCTACAAGCGATACACCAGGCTTTGTTGAACTCGTGTTTACGGTTAGTGTCACCAGCTTTATTGTTCTCTCTACGTAGATAGCGAGAATGGTTATTGAAAATCAGTAATGAAGTACTTGTTATAAACTAAATACGTGGAGAACAAAACTTGCAAATTTTCCAATATTAAATTTGTAGTGTCACTCGCAGAGTGACATTCTCAAGTTAATCAAATAAAGCGTGGCTGCGAACTTATATTTTTATGAACAAAATCGAACAAGCATTAATTATAATGAAATTTAATTTGAATCAAATAAATCATTCACTTAAAAAAAACCAGATTTTGTGATGAAACATATGAACCTAAACACGAGAGATCGGTTGAAGAAGATGACATAAATGAAGAATAAAAATTTCCAAAGTATTGTATGAACAAACCTGCATCCAGAACCAATAGCGTACTGTATTAACTAAACTTGGTTATTTTGTACATTTGAGGTTCCAAGCTGTCAACAGGTTTAAGCAACGAACTTCACATTCGATTAATTTTAGTAATTCTTATTCACAAGGCACTCAGTTCACAAAGTTTAAGCTCACACTTCCGCAATTTATATTGCTAATCCTAAAATACTAACATTGTTCCACTACAAATTTTCATGAATTGTGCTAAACTTAATATGCATGACTTCGCTGAGCTTCACTGGGGCATTAACCGAGATGGACGGACCATTTGAAGCGAACACGTAAATTTTGATTGGCTAAGGTCAATCTGCCGTGAATTGTGGGCGCATGTGTCAGTAGTGGATTTGTTTGACTTCGCCACTCATTTTCGTTATTATCCTTTTTATCTTCTCAAGTTTCACAAAATAAGGCAAATGAGCTGGAATAACCAATCTTTGTGTGCGTCTGGTAACTCCCTGCAACACTCATCCTTCGGGGGCAATTATATGTCGTCTTTTGATCAAGTGGGGGCCGGCGCTTCTGTTGATACAGAAAATTTGTCTTTGGATCATCAGACCCAAGTCACTGGACGTGAACTTCAGGAACTTTTGAGTGTTTCTCATCAGAGCATTGATGAAGCACAGGAGCGGTTAGTTTACTGTTCAAATTTATTTATCACCTTTAAGCACCTTCCAAACATCATTCTAGGTCTTCCGGTTCCGTAGTATTTCTATTTGCCTTCTCTAAACTAGGCACCAAATTTACCTTAACAGATTTTTGTGTCAATGATGTAGCAAGGTTTCGATTTACATATAACTCTAAAATGCTCGCTTTATTCTAAAATATCAGCTGTTAGTTTGCTAGTTTTGTCCCAGCATTTGTGCATTTGCCTAATCATAGAGTCAATACCTGACAGCTTTCGTCACTTAAAACAGATGGCTAATTTGCTACTTAAGTTTATCAATGTCACTACTTGTACAACCACAACCTTTTCCTTTTTGAGTGAACTAGCCCTGATTGAAGGTGGTGTTTGTTTGTGCCTTGAGGTTCTTATTATTATTCTTCTTCTTTGTGTGATAAGATTTATATCCGGAATTAGTGTTTAGGAAATAAGACAGTCTTTCCCTGTTTAAACCATGGTTGTATCGGAAATGTGGGCTTGATTGTCACATAAACCACAAGAATTTCTGCTAGTAAGAATCACTAGGATCGTGAACCTTCTTAGGAGAAATTACTTTTTTTTATTGAAAGTGTCCATCAGACCAATACCTAATTTTTCGGCCCCTTTGGGCCCGATATTGTCTTTTATACACACAACCTTTAAGATCAAGCTGCTCATCTAGGTGTAACTGAATTTTCTTCTCATTGTCTAGAAAGCAGGCCTTGAATAACCATCGGTTGAAACCTGCCCTGTACAGCGTCTTCTGCGAAATAAAAGAAAAAACAGGTAGAAATCCACGATTTTATCAACCTTATTGTTCTTTGCTTTTTCCAAGTGCGTATGTGTTGCGTTTGGCGGAGGTAATGGGCTTGTGACTAGTCTTCACTCAAACGTTTATCATTATCCAGTCACTTAACCTGGATGTTTAACTTCATTCCGACGCCCTTATGTCACCTTTTATTTTCAAGGCAGTATTAGCTCCCAAGTAAATATCTGCTGAGCCTCCCCATAAGTCTATAAACTGGCTGTACGTTACCTCACACATATTCTCAAAGTTTTAAACTCAACTTTGTTGTTTGTAAATTCCAACTTGTGGTTAATAAGGATGTATTGAAATACATGGTTCCGCTTGGCGGGTAAATTTAAACATGTTCTAGTGATTAAGTGTGGGAAGATACTGCATCCCATCTCTCTGCTGAAGCATTCATGTAAATCGCCTATTGGCCGGTTTCGCGCGAAATCGTTAACATTTATACCATTAAAAATGTGGTACTTGCTTTTAGTGTCGGTATTTTCACTTTGTACACAGCTTTGAGCTTGCGGAGCACAGCAGCAGCAAACACAGAGGACGAATTAAACGCACCAGACCCACAACTCCTACGACTCGACAAGATGCTGATTGCTGAGGGTGTTACGGGCACAACCGATGTCAACGACTTTGATGGAGTCAGTGGTGGAATGGCCGGTGATTGCAATCAAATTGAACACGCAGATTATCGGGCCAAGCTCACCCAAATTCGTCAACTTTATCATACAGAATTAGAGAAGTACAAAAATGTATGCTTTTGAAAAGTTGTCAACTGGGCAAATAATTGTTCCTTCCTTTATTTACACCACCACCAAGTCATTTTCTGACTCACGCAATGTTCGCTGTTCCACAACCCATGATTTACGATGCACTTCGAGTTGCTGAAATTAAATCAGCCTTTCATTGTATCTAGTCATTGTTAATGCGTGGACAGTCTCGGAATTATTAATTCTCTAAGATCTTAGCCGGGCTGACGTACTAGTGCCTTTCGTCAATTTTTTATTTGGTCAACAGGCTTTTCGTAAAAGGGTTTTTTAAATTGTCCGTATGTTTGCCTTGTCTAATAAGCTCTATTCCCTTGTCACGCGGAAGCATAAATAAATTTTACTTGTTGAAATATCTCCTTACTGTAAAAAGACTTTTCTGCAAAGCTAAAAGAGCATAGTGTCATGATAATGCCTGAGTAAGCCAAGGTAACTGTTGGTTTCCATGTGCCTGAGGTGGCCTTTATTATTCAACGTTATTAATTGACAGTGTTTGACACCCCCCAATCCAACTCGTATTTACAGGCATGCGATGAGTTCACTGGTCACGTGGTCAACCTCCTTCGAGAACAGAGTCGAAGTCGTCCGATTAGTCCAGCAGAAATCGATCTCATGGTTAACATCATCCGCCGGAAGTTCCGCGCAATTGAGACCCAGTTGAAGCAAAGCATCTGCGAAGCTGTTATGATCCTCCGATCGCGGTTCCTCGATGCCAGGTGGGTATTTCCGAAAGTTACAAACCTAATAGCATGTGGCCGAATACTTTATGGTGATATGCGTGTAAGACAACTTTATTCACTTTCCAGCTGTGGTGTTATTATGCAAGATGATATTTTCGGAATTTGCCGAACGGCACCGTACAACAGGTTTTAGGTGCATGTGAGACATTGCTCACAATGGTTGTGCCCAGTTAAGTTTGCGGCTTTTCAGGATTACGTCCCTTATCATGTTTTACTCTACCTGTACATTGTTCTTTTCTCCTGAGTTCAACTTAAAGTGTTACCATCACGAATCGTTTTCCAGAGGTGTGCGTTAGACACGAATCACTGATGAAACTTACTACGAAGCAGCTAAGTGACTTTTAATTGGCCTAGACAAGTCTGTTCTTTTAAGCCTATTTTTTACTGTTTCGGAGTTAAAGATATGTTTTTGTCCCAGTTAATTCAGGCCCGAGTCTCGTTTGGTAGCAGGAAGGCTTTTTGGCACGGGGATTACCCAGCTCCCATATTTTTTTGCAAGAAATTGGTTAGATTAAGAACTGGAATTCTGGATCAGATATAAATCTTCCTACTGTTTTATTTCGTTGCGTTCAATGGATTAAAAGTGCGCCCCGACATAGAAGACCCACTTGTGTCTTCGCTATGAAGTATTTTGGCGTTGAAACAAGAGCTCACCTGCTGACATGACTAGAAATAAGTGTGTTGTGCACGACGAAGAAGTACTAAGAAAGGGTGCAGTGAAAGTATGCTTTCGTAATTTTATATTCTGTGTTTCCCGTGCAATGACACGTAGGCAGCAACTGAAAAACTTATACCATTTCCGTAATAACCCAGAATCGATCCATGGCGGGTGGCTTCCTATTTTCCCAAATAAAGTGTTCGATTCAATTTCTTTTAGTGCTGAACTTCTGATGCAATTTCTCTTAGCCCAACCCTTTCTTCTAATTACATAACTCAGACTGTATGAATGAGCACATATTTTTCTAAAAAGACAAGCGAAAAAATCCCTGCTTTGGGCGATACCCTGTAGCATGTATGGCCATCGTATTTGTTGTATTTTCCCTAAGGGAAATATTTGTTTTCCACTGTTCACATCAGCCACTTTCACTTAAGCGTCAAAAAGTTGTTTGCTTTTGCTCTCAAAAGAATTCAAAGCGTCATCGGAAAATGATGGTAAGCGAATAACCGCCAATGGCACCATTATACGATTTACACGTAGATTAATTGCTGTTTGGATCCTTTGTCTTATAGTTTCCAGCCATATTTACTCCGCATGTTATATAGACATTAGCAGTTAGTTATTTCTAGACAATGAAGTGTTTTCTAAATTAATCGCGCTTTCCTTCCAGGCTCTCTATATTCTCAAATTGTGTTGATTTAGAAATTGGATTCCAGGTAAAGTAGGGATCGCCTAAAAAGTATGACGTAGCGGGTTCGACGTTATCAGCAATCGAACATGACACTGACATTGAGTTGGCAATTTTATTCAAATGAAAATTCCCCCCAAAAGTACTTAATTTATGTTCTGGAATGCCTAGCACTATCCATTACGTGTAATCACCAATGGTCAAACGCGTTTGTTGTGTCCGGTTGTGGTCTTTGATCTTGATCCCCTCTCTACTTTTTCCCCCAATTCCCATAGACTCCGCCTCGCCCGTCTGTCCAATTACTAAACATTGAAAAAAGTATTTCCCAGTAATTCATAGCCAGGAGCGGTTAATGTGGATGCGAAATTTGTGGCTTTCCTCATAACGTCATCGACATATATCTAGCTGTAGCTATGAGCATCTTTCGACAACAATTTGCATTAATTAACAAGTGCAACTCCCAACATGTATTTTTTGCTTCCGGAACTCGTCTTAACTACTCAAAGGTCGTCGCCATTTAAAACGGTACTTTTTCCCCCAAAGGCACATAACTTCATTTCTCTAGAGATATTACCGAGGTTCACCCACACATCATGATTACCCTAATGAGCTACTAAGTGCGAAGCCGACAGTGACCCCAGGAGAACCTACACTTTTCCCTATTTCATTTTATCACGATTCCATATCCTGCCGCGTATGTCACCATTCAGTGCTCTATTTTAAGGGAAATCACTTTTGTGGTTTCCTGGCTTTCAATTCAACAAAGGTGTCGTTAATTTCTAAACTTTTTTGTTCGAGGTGCCTTAGCAAGGTGGCACTTCATATTTTTGAAGGATTTCCATCCGCATCCATCTAGAGCTTAGTTCAAATTAGTCGTTCAGAGTAGTTTCTCCAATGACTCTTGTCAGCCTCTCAAAGGGAAGCAGTGCAGCATACTAGGCCAATTAGTCTCCAAACCTAACTAGGCATTGTGTTGTGCTTGCCGCCCCACTTTTTCAAGTGTATGGCTACCTATAAGTGATGAAAAGTTCGATATTCAAACACGCTGGTAGGTACCTATTTGCGGTTAATCAGATGGATTACATTAAACCAAAACGTAGCTCAGCAGCCAGTTTTATAACTTTTGTATGTTGTTCTTAGACGCAAACGTCGGAATTTCAGCAAGGAAGCTACTGAGGTTCTTAACGAGTATTTCTACTCCCACTTGGCAAACCCTTACCCTTCTGAGGAGGCCAAGGAAGAACTTGCTAAAAAGTGTGGCATAACCGTTTCTCAGGTACTTGCTTGTTGTTGTTGTTGATCGTGCTACTTACAAGAAATGAGACGGGTTATTTGGATCATAACTTGGGTGAATTTACTGTGGAAGGGAATTAAATACTGCCGTACTAAACTGCTATTGACGTATTGACAAGGAACATTTGTACTGGCTGGATAACAACCGACGTGTGCCATCAAGATGCGCGTGCATTAACAGCCTACCACGTTGCAACTGTTGTTTCTAGGGTTTGAGCACAAGCAGAATCAGCAATCCATTATGCCACTCATATAACTTGGATGAGCTATGTTAAAATTACGCAAAATTACGATAAATGGACATAGATCACGAAAATTTTGTTCCTACTAAGAATGTTACCATGAATTGCAATAATTTCGGTTTCGACGCGTATCAAGCCGAGCAATCCTGTAAGATTTTCCTGATAGTTGGCAGTGCATTTTTAATGTTGCCCGAAGCTTTGTCGGTCTAACCTGATGCTCCTTTCAGGTCTCTAATTGGTTTGGCAACAAGAGGATCCGTTACAAGAAGAACATTGTGAAGGCGAAGGAAGAGGCCAATATGCATGCGGCGCTGACGGCGGCGGCTGCTGTGTCTGCGGGGGCTGGGGGCCTGCCACCGCATCCGCACGGTATGCCTGATGATGTAAGTTATCTGATTTTTTTGCAGAAAGACTTCTTGCTCTTTACTCTGCTGTAAAGTCTTTAGGTAATAGGAATTAATATGTCAGTGTTGGTGAATTGGTATCAGCAATATGGGAGATGATTTCCAATGTACTCTGCCTAATGAATCGTGCTGTGTACTTTCCGAGAATAGGCACATGAGCGTTGACGATAAAATCATGTTATATGAGTTTAAAATGTGAGTACTGAAACTGTAACAAGTTATGGCATTTATTTGAATCGTGTTCCTAAATGTGGTTTAGTTAATTTAAAGATGCTACCTGTAATCTAGTAGATAGACTTTGCTCCGGGAGACCTTTCAACATTGAGAATGGCTTCATTTGTAATTTTGTGAATGAAATCAACGGATTGCTACTGAAGAGGTTGTTGAAGGACTAACTGTCGTCAATTCGACTGCATTTTACCATTTCAAATAATTTGGATGCACCTCGGAACTCGATATTCGGGTCCCTCATGTTTTGAAAGAACGAAACAGTCCGATTTGTGTTTCCTTGAAATGGTCACCGCTTGGGACCTTAACAGTCATCACTTTCCTCGCCTTCTAACAAAAAGAACCTTTCTTAAATGGAGTCATAACTTAAGATGACAAATGTATGATTTACAATATCATAGTATGGAAAAGAAACAGGAAGCATGGAATTGAAAGAGCAGAATCTAAGGCATAGGCTGAATCACTGTATCCACTGAAAGTACTGTTATTTCTCCATTAAAGAGAGTGCGGACGACAAATTGATTGCAAACTTCTTTTACTGGGCCAAACACTTGCTGCGGGGAAGTACTGTGAACCACTCGCCCAATTCCATGTTGAAACCCAAGCAAAAGGTGCAAACTTTGTCAATCGAAGAAGCGTCATCATTCACCATGATAGCGCTAGACCACATGTCGGTCAACAAACGTTGCAAAACTTAGGAAGCTGAAATGGGAATTCTAGCACCTACCGAATTCCTGTGGATTTGTCACCTCAGATTTAAATCTGTTTTACTCTGTGCAAAATAATTTGACTGAAGACAAATGCGTGGAGTATGTTAAAGTAAAAACCACGCGGCTTCAAAAAGGAATCTAAAATCTATTAAAACGCTGGGAGTACATTTCGCAACAATAAATAATGCTTTTCATTAAGGCACTTTGTATATGATTTGAATTGGCTCCAAATCGGGTGCGCACTTTTAAACTCATCCAGTAGCAAGAACTAGAGTATGAATTGTCAAAAAGGAGAATTCATACCCTTGTTGTGGAAAAATGCTTTTTGAAGGACAATATGGAGCCTGTGGGACTATCCATTGCTTTACTGGTGTGTTTGTCCGAGAAGTACTTTAAAATATTATTGCATATTTGTTAATTTGGCACTTATAGTAATGAGCAAATTCGTGTATGGGCTGTTTTTACACGATTGAGGGTGTGTTGACAGTTATTATTTATCCTAACCAAAGGGTACTTGTCCCACGAATGTCAATCGTCGGTTTGGATCCGAGCGGCAAGGTGGGCGTTTAACCGATAAGGGAAAGGATCGATTGTTTGTCTTTTAATTTACAAGGGTTAGTTTAGAAATGAGCATTGACTAAAACAGTATGGTTACCCGAGCTCCCGTTTCTTCCACCTCTGGCTTGGCTAACACGCGTCTCCATTCCGGATTTCTTAGCACATGAATGCCAGCTACCCGCCAGGTATGTACGACTACGACGACCAGGGCATGGCGAGTGCTCAAATGCAGGGCCAATCAGAACACCGCGACGGGGGCTGGATGAGTGACGAACCGGACCGCAAGCGTAGCAAAATGTGAGGCGCCCCACTTCTTTTGTACGCCGCCGAATTTTTATCGGAGTCGATGGTTTTACTAAAATTCATACTCAAACCCTCTGTTTTAAGTGTTTTCAGCATTGTTGTAATAACAAACAGTACCATCGTCTTAATTTATGTATTTGATCTTGCCATTCTTTATCAATCGGTAATACGTATGCAACATTTGCATAACATACAAAAGCATTTCATCTCTCCTAATATTCGTGTATTCAATTACGGCATTTTTTTTCTTTTTGTTGACATTTAATCGTAAAATGTATGTTTGAATTTGCCGTTACCACGGATTCATATAGGACGTTCAATGTAGCACCACAGATGTGGGACCGCGTATGACCAGATTTATAAATCGGGATTTTGGCTGGCGCCTCTTATTTTCAACCCATGGGATTTCATTTGTGCCTGAGAAACCCAACAGAAAGTCACAGCTGTAATAGGGTCTGCACGTGTATTACAATCACACATGATTTGAGGGCGGTTGAGAATAGGCTGTCGTTGGATTAGTCCCTAATTTTTGCACGCCATTAGTAGGATCTGAGAAATCACCTCTGCCTTTTATGCGTGATTCTCTTGCCGAAAGTAAATAAGTTGGGTTTTCCATTAGCTTGCGCTTTGTTCAACGATTCTGGCGGCAAAGCGCCTAACACATGTCGGCTTTTCCAATCGCGCGTATTGTAGCTGCGACGAGAGTCGGCGCCCCATTCAACTGGCTTTCCGAAATGGCCTGTTCCTCCTCGAAAATCGAGGAGCTACCTCCTACGTTAAAAAGAGATTATGGAAATCCTTGAAGAATCAAATCAAAGTTCATACTAGGTCTATCAAATGTTGTTGGCCGCACTTAGTTTTTACTCAAATGCACATTCAACTAAACAAAAAAGGGCGAGTTGTAGCAGTCGCAAATACACTTAAGACGTACAACGTCTTAAGTGAATCCGGACAAGTTATTGGCGTATTAGCGTCGAGTTAGGCGTAAGTCATTTCTCCCACTACCCATTATTTGGAATGAAAGGTATTCCAATATGGCTACTGCAGATTGAAGATCGGCTTCGCTAGTTTGCGTAAATATCTAAACATGGAAATCGTTTTACACAAACACGCATGACGCCATGCAGATCTGATTTCAAACGAGTACGCGTTCAAGTCGTTCTAAGGCCTATTTCTTGCAACTATTCACGCGAGCAACCGATTTCTGGCAGCCCGAGAATATATCAGGTTTAAGTGTTGGACACCTGCTACTCTCCAAGACTTTTTACTCACAGCAGTGACGTACTACTTTGAACACGAGGAAGGCTGCCTTGGGGAATGAAATGGGCAGCATTTCGTTCCATGTTAACACTTAAGTTCACGGTAGCTTCTACTTCTTATGTTAACTTTACAATTCAAACATATTCTCAAAGCTCATGGAATAGGAATTCTGTGAAGTTAATGCATCCTGTCCTATGGCAAAGATAACTGCGACAACTACGCCGAATCGCCTATTAGAGGTTGTGTCGTTCACAAAGGAGCGATTTCATGTAGATCACGCTGAAAGTGGTCCATGGCGTCTTGTTGTACGAACTTGCCCCAGGATAGTTAACGAAAATCTTGCGGCTGCCCATACTTCAATGACAAAGATTTAGGGGTTTTGATTCTAGGATGTGCGCAGTGAAGTTCAAGATGCATAAATTTACTAGAAGGGATACGATTGTTTTACGTAAAGCCTGCAAACAAATTAGGTGGAACTTTCGTGGAATAAACACGTCTATTGTATTACTATACCACTATGGCCATTTAGGCTGTCTTACGAAATGTGGTGGTGTCGTACAAATCCCCGGCGACAACATTCCACATTTGTACACTTTTTGATGAGGAACATATGCAGACCTCAAAGTAGTACAAACAGCGAGGTCACAATGAAACAAATTTTAAATATGCTGGAGCAACGGGGGAGTAACGTGATACCAAAACCGCAAGAGAACCACTATTAGATGAAATATCCTTTGCCAAGAGGTCTTGGCAATGTGAAAAAATGAATTGAGGTCCGTGATTAAAGAGACCAAACGTGTTTATGGCATTGCGAAGTCCATCTGGTTTTAAGGATCCTTCAGTATTCAGCTGTGTCTACCATGATACACAGCCCATGACTGAACACAGGCTAATGTATATGATCATTCCATCATTTAAAATGGTGGTCCTCTCATATTTGAAACAAGATTAACATCTAAATTCACCCAAATCAAAAAGTTCTCTTGATTAGGTCAAGTTTAAAGTAGAACCAGAAATTACTAACAGAAACATCAGCTTATGAAAGAAAGGCGATTAATAGGTAGCAGTGTGATTGAAATCAAACGTTATCAGAAAACAAATGTTGAAAAATGTATATACAAAATGCTCAGATCGAATCTCACATTTGGCAGTCTTAATCATTCTTTTGGCAGTTCGGGAAGAATGTGACCTTTCTTTACCAATTTTTTATATTTCTTCGCCCGTTTCGCATCGTGTCGCATGCGCAAATTTCGTTCCCGTTTCTTTTGTTTCAAATCTCTATTTTCCATTGTTTTCTCAATCCTGTCTGTCCATTTCTTCGAACTCTTGTATTTATTTTTCTTGCTTTTTTGCACCGATTTACGAATTTTTGAAATATCAGCTTTTACCTTCACTCCTATAAGCTAATATTTAGCAAATTGTGCAGGCATACCTTGAGCCTTTAAGCTTGCTAGCTGCCATGCCTTGCGCTGGTTCAGTTCGAAAGCCACCTCCGGATTTTTTGCTTCTAATTCGGAGGTATATTCATTAAACTTCTCCGCCTTCTTCAACGTTTTAAATGACGACTTTCCAACAAATATCCCTAGGTTCTCAAGTTTCCTATTTCGACGCTCCTTCTTCCTTTCATTTTTTTTATTAGCCATCTGATTAAGAAGCTCATCTTCATCAAACGTTTCAATCTTTGAGAAGTAAAAATCCCCGCCCTATATTACACAACATATAGATTTTGACGCAAACTAACCATTATTTCGCCGACTTCACAGGTTGTCGCCGTTGTAGGGTGTTTGTGGTGTGTAG